TATTAGATTTCAATTAATCTGAAATCAAGACTAACAAGATTTTATAAAGATGATACATTATTATACAACAATATGTCATTATTATAATTTTATAATATCTTATGATGAGAAAAAATTTACTTACACATAAATTTTACATGTTATATTTATACAAAATTTTAATTAAATCTCTTAAATTTCAATAGTTAAAATTTATCTATATTTATTAAAAATAATTATCTTTTATATTTAAAAAATCATAATAAATTTTAATTATTAAAATTTTATATAAATATAATATATAAAATTTATGCATAAATAAATATAATTTCTTATATAATATTTTAACTATATTAATTTTAATTATAAAAATAGTTTAGCTTGGCCATCCAATTATGGAAAAAGGAAATAAAGAGATGTGGAACGCATCTAGCATGTCCAGTTGTCAACGGTATAGAGGTGGCAGCCTGCCTAGTTAGTAATTGGATCATCTTAGCTAGACTGCATTAAAGTTAGGCTGAAAGCGAAATCTAACAACTGTAAATGGGATGATAATTAGTCATGGGGATATATAATGAATGCCAATTCCAACACGCCTTTCTCTTCAACATTTCCCGACAAAGTCGTTGACAAAAGCTGACCTTTTCTATTTCTATTAGATGGTAGGATTTTTAATTGGATTTTTTTAATTTATATTTTTAAAATATATGTTAATATTATTTTTTTATAATAAATTTATATTAAAAAATATAAAAATAAATATTAATTTTAAAATTAATGTCATAAATAAATTTAATTAAATAATTAATAAATTAGATATTATTTTTATTTTTTTTCAAAAATTTTAATCTATATTTTAATGACATATATTAGAACAACCCTTTTTAATTTCGTTTTAAAGTAGTGCTCCAGGTTACATTCGATCTGACGGTCAGCCCACAAATTCCTTCTCTCGAATTGCTGAGGCCGTCCAACTGCCCTGTTTCTAATTATAATTTCTTAATTTGCCACCCTCTCTAATTAAAGGGCATTTATTCTCGAAACTTTCTCAATATCCTAAGTTCCTACCTGAAGGATAGAGATGGCAGCGGTAGGGTAGTTAAAGTTGATGAACACACTTTAATCAATAAATAAATAAAAAGTAATTATTTATGAAAATTAGTCACCTAATAATATTTAAATTGTAGTTAGCAACTTAAATGATATTGAGTATTATATATATGGTATGTGAACGACATGAATTAAAAGAAATGATAAGAGATAATTGTTTGTTGTTATATAATTCTATATATATAATCATTTATATATGAAAAAATTTATATATGAAAAAATTTGTTACTATTAGATAGTACTTATTCCATTTCAAAATAATAAAAATTTTTTAATATAAATTTTTTTTTAAATTATTTTTTTTTTTTTTATTTTTAAAAATAAATATTTTTTTCTTGATTTAACTTTATTATTATTTCTTAATTTTAATTATTCATCTTATTTTAATTATTCTCTTAATTTTAAGCCTGTCATGCCGACAGAAGGTCGAGCGGACGTGGCACATCCGTTTGATTTTGGTTATGGGAAAGGGCATAGCTAATTCAAAAGCCCTCAAGTTTATAAAACTATAATTTTTAAGTCCCTATATTTAAAAGATATCATTTAAGTTTTTAAAATCAAACAAGATTACTCTAATTTAGGGTATTAGGGTTAAGTGATTGTAATATTAGGGATTAGATTATATTCTTAGGATTCAAGGCTTAATTAAGGTGTTGGAATTTAAATTTTTTAGGGTTTATATTTTTTTAAATTGAATGTTTATTATGTTAATTAGGGTTTGGAATTTTTAGAATTCAATATTTAGGAGGTTAAGGTTTAGATTTTTTTTGGATTAAGTGTTTAGGGTGCTAGGATTTAGTATTTTATGAGTTAGGGTTTAAATTTGTTGAGTTTTATATTTTATGATATTAGGATTTAGATTTTTTGGGTTATAAATTTTATAATGTTATGGTTTCGGAATTTTCAAATTTAGTGTTAGTGTATTAGGGTTTATATTTTCAAACTTTAAGGTTTAAGATTTAATATTTAAAAGTTTAGGTGTTCAATAATTTAAAAATTAAAATTATAGAACCAAATAGTGAAATTAAAAATTTAAAATTTAAAAAGTAAAAAAAGAAAAAGAAAAAGAAAACTATGGGGACCAATCGGATTGGAGACCGATCGGTCCCTATAGCATTACCCATAATGCCGATCCAAGGAAATCTTTGAATATTATATAGCTTAAATATTAATTTTAGTCCCTAAACTTTTCATGTTGAACATTTTTGGTCTTCAATTTATTTTCAGCACTTTTTTTGGTCCTTTAACTCCACAAAATGCACTTTTTTGTCCTTTCATTAGTTAAGTGAATGGTGTGACGTTAACTCAATCCAAAAAGGCCTTGTTTCGATGTAGTAATGACACATTATTAAATTAACTAATGTTAATTCATGGTATCTAAAAATGTTTTTGGTTTGGAAAAAGTTTGAGGAAGATGATGACTTTAGGACTATTTTGTCATTTTGTAAGTTTTGATATTTTAGTTTATAAAGAAGATTAATTGGTGGATAGTTTTTAGTTTTTCATTTATTATTTTATCCATTTGATTATATAAGCTAAAATGACCAATATGGAGACCACATGTTTTGTCCAACTAAGCTAAGAGACTCATTTATAATGTATATGTCATCAAAAAATTGAAGAAAATTTTTTTTTAAATGAGTCAACAGCTGCATCATCACTTAACTGAAGGAATGATAAAAAAAATGTAATTTGTAAAGATAAGGGACCAAAAACTACTAAAAATAGTTTAAGGATAAAAAATGTTTCAAAATGTAAAGTTCATGAACTAAAATTGGCATATGTTTCTTTGCAGCAGCTAGACATTATTTACATGAATAAAATTCTTTGGGGAAATAATCTCATCAAATAATAATTAAGGCATGAAAGTTGAAACCCCACAACTTTGAGATTGTAGGTTTGATTATAGCTAATTGCAAGTTTTTTCAAATTTTTTCGTGAGTTTCGTACTGTATTTAAGTCATGATATCTGTATTGTGTGTAGAAAACAAATTGTATATTACCTCTTTTTTTAAAAAAATAATTAATATATATTTAAGTTTGACACATCTTTCAATAGTATCTAATTTAACTATTAAAATATAATTTAAGTATAGTTGGTTTGCCTAGTTTTTGTAATTTGTATGCATGATTGTATTTTTAAATTTATTTGTATTTAATTTTAGACCAAAAAATAATAATTTTTAATGAGTATGTTGTGTAATGTGTTGAATCAAATGATATTTTAATCATATTCCATTTTTTTTAGTCGGTCAACATATAATTTTATTGCTAAGGAGTTAAAGGGTACTCAACCTGTTGCCAAGAGGAACTTTCACTTATCAAGGCCAAATTTATCACATCCTATAAAATACAATTTCCTTTTGATAATGATTCTTTTTCCATTTTCAAGAGTGTTTCACGTAAATAGAATATTGAATTTAATGATTAGTTTTTCAAATATTCATTGAAAGATGTGTTTTTGAAATGGGACTATATAAAATCAAGATTAATATGCATTATTCTCTTAGACACACACACATATATATATATATATATAGAAAAAGTGCTTGGTAGGATGTCTTCCATGAAGGACATCTCCAAAAACATTATATTCTAATTAATATTTTTAAAAATCAACTATTGGATTAAAAGCACTTTCCATATAGATCTTGCATGTCAATTTTTAACAAACTTAACCAATTTTTTAATTATATAAAATTAACTCCATTAAATATATGTCAATAAATATATTTTCTTAAATCAAAAGGTTATAAATGTTAGATTAATCTAAAATTTATTATGCATAATTTACATGAATAAAATTTTAATCCAATGATTCGTTTTTTAAAATATTACTTATAAAATAAGTTTTAGGTAAATCCTCTAAAGAAATTTTGGGAGGATAATTTGTACTACATTAATTTCGCTCTCTCCATATAGAAGTGCATATCAATATTGATTAAAGAAAAAAAAATAGAGTATCAACTTTAAAATTTCATCCTCCAATGAATATTTTAAAAAACCAACTATTGGATCAATTGCTCTATTCATATAATTCATGCAAACTAATTTTCAAATTGATTAAATATATATAATTAATTTATTGGTTATACAAAACTTAACACCATTAAATCTATGTTAAAAATACAAATTCTTGATCAAATAATTATAAATGTTAGATCAATTTAAAAATTAATATGTATGATTTATATTAATAAAATATTAAATATATTTATTATTTTTTAAAAATATTTATTGAAGTATTGTATTTTTAAAATTGAAACTTTAATTATTTGATCAATTTAAAAATTAATATGTATGATTTATATTAATAAAATATTAAATATATTTATTAGTTTTTAAAAATATTTATTGAAGTATTGTATTTTTAAAATTGAAACTTTAATTATTTTATAAGAATTAGGATTGATATGTACTATTTTTATTTGTATATATGGCATCTGCGTTGGGATCAAAACCTCTCCTTCTCCATCTTTCTCTCCTTCTATTGCTACTAGTTTTTATGAAGCTTAAATGATATCATATCTCATTTCAACTGAAACTTCACTAAGAGAGTATTTGCTTTCAAGATGAAGACTTTAGATTTAAAATTTATATTTTGTAAAATTTTTATATTTTAAGTTTTGTATTTTTACTCGACTTATGGTAATGTAATGACCTTGCCTTAGTCTCGAAAATTTGAATGTTTATTTTTAACTATATTTAATGATGGACTATACCATGAGAAATAACCTTTCGCTTTCTAAATCTTTCCTCTTCAATTTTAAGATTCAAACTTAATTTTAATTGATTGTAAATTGTAGTTAAGTAGCTTGGAGGTTATATATCATTTAATTTTAATAAATAAAACAAAAAAAATACTTGTGTGTTGACCCTCATTCTGCTAAGCTCGGGTTAAGGATTGCTATTTTGCAAGTGATTCTTTATTTGATTTAATAATAATACAAAATCTATTATCATGCAAAGAAAACCTCAAATTAATCTACCAAGACGAGCTCTTTCTCTTGTTCACTTGATATGAAAGTGTCAAAGGTTGAAGACAACGGAGGAGCTTCTTGCATTCAGTACTCCCTTTGTTCCAATATAGTAGGCGTTTTTAGCCTTCTGCAAAATCATTAAGATAATAATTAATTAGTCTTAATTTAATAATTAAATATAATTAAAACATTATTTTTACCCTTTTCTATCTCATCACTTACGATATGCAAAACGTGAATGTTCTCTTTCTCTGACTTTTGCACTTCCATTTCTGTTTTTTATTTTTTATTTTTTGTATTAATCTGCACTTGCAAATCAACCACCAATTGGTCGGTATAAAAAATTCATATACATTTCTTTTTTCTCTGAATTTTTTTTTGGTAAATCAGATTGTGGGTGTTAACTAGTGGAGTAATACTGTTGTGTTAGTGGGAGGGTAAAAATAATTGTACATCATATTTCTAAGGGATTGTCTATGAGAAGCAATGATTAGATAATAATTATAGTATTTTTTGAAAAAAAAATGAAAATTTAAATTTAAAAAATAATTTTTGTTTTTTAATTTAATATAAATCACCTTCATCACTTTTAAGATAAAAAATAATTATTATTAATCAATAATTACTATTTATCATGGGCTCCAAGGCTATAAAATTGATAAATCCTATTTCAAAAAATGTCAAATAAAATGAAAAAAAAAAAATTCTCTTTTCGAAACGTCAAATTAACATAATGAAACAGAGGGAGTAACATGTTCTCGTGCCTTCCAAAGAATATTAAAATATGTTTCAATTAATCGCCACCTATTCCAAACAACCCATAATAACTTTGTTCATGTCTTCTTTAGAAAAATAAAGATGACCAATTATTTTTTTATATATTAAATTATAAATTATATAATAAGAAATGATTTTTTTTAAAAATTCCTTTGTATAGTTTTTTTTTAAAATAATTTGTTTAACTTATATCTTAAAAACACAAGTAAAAATTGTAGTTATTATACTTTTTTACATCAATTATTATTAAAAAATACAAAAGTCATAATTGATTTCATTACTAGTGTGACGT